GCTGGCCTGCGTGTTGGTCCTGCTGCTTGGGCTTCTGGCGGCCATCATTCTAGCCCGTGAGCACCGGCCCGCTTGGGAGAAGGGCTTCTGAATGACGTTGCACGAGCCATTGTATCCATCACCTCTGGGGAACCGGCTCCTCTGAATCCCACTCCCCCATCTTCGCCCCTCCAGAGTTGTCGGCTACACCCCTGTCTGGGGCCTCCTATCAGCCACTGCCTGCCCAAGGCCTGACCCCCAGCGGGACCACCACCCCCACCACCCCCTCCACCACCACCACCTCTCTGGCATCTGGGAACCCAAAAGGACAGCTGGAGGAGATAGGCATGAGCCCCTCACCCCAGCCCAGTGAGTATCCAGGGCAGATCTTCCTGGAGAAGAGCCCAAGATGGCAGCGGGGGGGGCGGTGGCCAGGAAGGGGAGACTTGGAAATAAAAGGGTCTCTCTCCTTTTGACCTCGGAACTCTAACCTTCATCTCTGCAGCCTGTGGGGGCCTCCTTCCTGGCCCAAGGGGCTTCTTCAGCAGCCCCAACTACCCAGACCCTTACCCACCCAACGCCCACTGCGTGTGGCACATCCAGGTAGCCGCAGACCATGCAATACAGCTCAAGATCGAAGCGCTCAGCATGGAGAGCGTGGCCTCCTGTCTTTTCGATCGCTTGGAAATTTCCCCTGAGCCTGAAGGCCCCCTCCTCAGGTGGGTCCCCCTGCCCCCAGGAGATCTCACCCCTGCCCTGCACCACTGTCTAGAGGACAGAACCGGGGAGCAGCAGTGGGAAAGGCTGGACTGGGAAGAAACGGAGAAACCTGACCTCAGGGGCCCAGCTCTGCCATCAGCCTGCTGTGTGACCTTGGGAAGGTCACTGCCCCTCTCTGTCAGATGGAGCTCCCACCTCTGTTGCCCAGAAAGAAATGCCTGCAGGATGGACGGTCGGTCGGACGGACAGACGGACGAACGGACGTGCCGGTCAGGAAAGTCAGAGCTCCCTGGGAAATGAAAGGACCCTTTTTGACCCCATCCTCCCCAGGTCAGGGCTTGAGGCAAGAGGACCGCAGGGCCTGGGCAGCCTCCACTCCGGCTGGCCCTGAGCTCTGAGCCTCCATCACCCCCAACCTGGCCCCTTGCAGAGTGTGTGGGAGGGCGCCTCCCCCCACACTCAACACCAACGCCAGCCGCCTCCGGGTGGCATTCGTCTCTGACAGCAGCGTGCAAGGATTTGGTTTCCATGCCTGGTACCAGGCTGTGACCCCCGGTAACGGTGAGTGTCTTCCACCCCCGCCTCTGGCTGCCTCCCAAGCGCCCACTTCCCTCCCCTCCAGACACCCCCGCCCCGCCCCCAAGAAAGAGGTGAAGCCTCTGGGATGTTCTGAATCCAGTCGCCCCTCCTCAGGGAGCTGTGCTCACGCTGAGTTCCCCTGCGACCAGCTCGTCTGCCTGCTGCCTGACTCGGTGTGCGATGGCTTTGCCGACTGTGCTGATGGCAGCGACGAGACCAGCTGCAGTGCCAAGTTCCTGGGTGCGGGCCCCGCCGGGCACAGCGCGGGTACTGTCTTCGGGCATCCGACCCGGGTCCGGCCAGGGCTCCCCAGCTCTGGCCCAGCCCCAAACTTGCCCGGATATTCTCCTGGCCCAGAACTTGCTTCCTCATGGGCCTGGCAGGGGCGAAGGCACAGACCCTGGCAAACTCCTGGGCCCCTCCTCCTCTCTGCAGGGTGCGGGGGGAATCTGACTGGGCTCCAGGGCACTTTCTCTGCCCCCAGCGACCCGCAGAGGTACCCTCACCAGCAGGTAAGCCGGGGCGCCACGGGGAGGGCAGTGGGGCACATGCGGACACACACCTGCGCACCCGGGTTAGTGTGACCGGGAGCAGCGTGGGAGACGCTGCCTGGTTCTTGGGAAGGTCAGAGCTCCAACAGGCAGTGAGGGAACAGCATTTAGTGCTTACCCGACGTTCCCGTGCTGGGTAAACTCTCTGAGAGCAGACAAGTTCAAAGGCCCTTCCACCACCGATGCGGAACAGCTTGGTGGGCCGCCCCCACCCGCGCCCTGCCTGGCCTGCAGCAGGGAGAAAGCCCTTCTGGAGCCCTGCCTGGATGGCCAGAGCGGGACAGGAGAAGGAGCCCTGACCGACTCCATCCGTGCCCTCCCCCAGCTCTGCACCTGGCACATCTCGGTGCCTGCAGGACACGGCCTAGAACTGCGGTTCCACAACTTCAGCCTGGAAGCTCAGGACGAGTGCAGGCTGGACTATGTGGCGGTGTATGAGACCAGCGACGCAGGGGCCCTTGGCCTCCTGGGAAGGTAGCCACCGAGCAGGAGCCCCGGAGAAACTCCATCCTCCGCAGTCTGACGGTCAAGACCTCCTGCAGACTCACACTGCCCTCTCCCTGGCTTCCAGTTCCTTCCGCTCTAAGCCAGGGGTCTCTTCACCGTCACCCTAGGAAGAGGCTTGTCCTTCCTCAGCCCAAAGCCTTTGTTTGGCATTGCCCCTGTGCAGAAGGCCATTTCCCTGTACCCTCCCTGCCTGGTTCTCCTGCCCCGTGGGGCCCACTCCCACTTCCCCTCAAACCCTCGCTGGTGTTTCCCATCTCCGACTGGCTCAAGTTCAAGCAGTTTGCTTAATTCTTTGCCTACTGAATATGTGTGTCTTCCTCCCAGGTCCTAAGTGCCATGAGTCAGCTGCCATGTGTCCCACCCCCTCTGGCACGGCCCAGAGCACCAGCTCAGAGGGAGGCCTGCAGGAACACCCCCGGGCAGCGGTGGGGGAGGCCAAGGGCCCCCTGCCCAGGTCTGCTCTCTGCCTCTGGCAGGTTCTGTGGAGCAGAGCCACCACCTCGCCTCATCTCCTCGCACCAGCAGCTGGTGGTGCTCTTTAGGACAGACCGTGGCATCAGCACCGGGGGCTTCTCTGCCACCTACCGGGCCCTCAATGCCACAGAGAGTAGGTGGCCCTGGGTGAGCGGGTGTGGCTGTGGAGGCGCCTCCAGGAGGACAAGGAAGGGCTCTGGACCCCACTCAGGGCACCGCGAAGGCAGTGTGGGGGCACAGGCCTGTCCCAAGGCACCGCCATGCCCCCTATGCCTACAGATCCCTGTGGGCCCGGAGAGTTCTCCTGCCATGACGGAGGGTGTAAGAGTGTGCAGTGGACGTGTGACACGTGGAGTCGCTGCCTGGACAGCAGTGATGACAGCTGCAGCAGCCCCTTGCTCCCACCCCCAGGTGAGAGGCCCGCCCCACAGCTCTGGGGGGGTGGGGTGGGGAGGCTGGAGCAGGCTGGGGCCCATTCATAGAAACCCCACTGGCACACTTCATAACAGCTCACCCCTGTCCTCTCCGATGGGGGGACTCCACAGAGTCCGGGAGGGATTCTCACCCGGTGGTGGCAATGGTACTTAACGTCACCCCCAAGGCAAGTGGGAATCTGGGAGTTGATGGTTGGGGCTTCAAGAACCAGCCCAGCCTTGTCACACAGAGAGCCCCTCTATACAGCCCACCTCAGAGAGGAAGGTGAGGGGCGCCCGGCTGGCTCAGTCCATAGAGCATGCGACTCTTGATCTTGGGGTCGTGAGTTCAGGCCCCACGTTGGGTGTGGAGCCTACTTAAAAAAAAAGAAGATGACGATGAAAGTGAGAGCAGGGGAGTTCCTTCCAGATGCCCAGCAGGCCCTGCCAATGTCAGTGCCCCATGCTCCCGAGATCAGAGAGACACCTGCATCATGCCCAGGGCTGGTGAAGGATGTTTGGGCAGGCTCTTGTGGATAATGGGCACCTGTGATGTGTGCAAAGCATCTCCCCATGTTATCTCGTTTGACTCCCACAACAACCCCCAAATGACCCAGATAGAGCGGTTGGGTGACTTGCCCCAGGTCACCAGCCTGTGTACCCTCCCCCAGTAATTCTTCCCTTACAGAGCTGGCTTGCGAGCCCGTCCAGGTGGAGATGTGCATCGGTCTGAGCTACAACACCACGGCCTTCCCAAACGTCTGGGTGGGCATAGCCACCCAGGAGGAAGTGATGGAGATCCTCAGAGGTTACAAGGTGCTCTAGGCAGAGATTAGGAGGGACCCACAGGAAAGTGGAGGGAGCCTCGGGAATGGGGTGCTTGAGGGCTGATCTCCTCCTTCCACAGAGCCTGACAAGTCTGCCCTGCTACCAGAGTTTCCGGAGGCTCCTCTGCGGGCTGCTTGTGCCCCACTGCACCCCCATAGGCAGTGTCCTTCCCCCCTGCCGCTCTGTCTGCCAGGAGGCTGAGCGCCAGTGCCAGTCTGGCCTGGCTCTACTGGGTACCCCCTGGCCTTTCAACTGCAACAGGCTACCTGAGGCGGCTGGCCTGGAGGCTTGTGCCCAGCCCTGACCCTGAGGCAGGCCCCTGCCCCTCTGCCTGCCCATCCACCTTTGTCGATCAGGGCGGGCAGGCAGGGGACTCTGCCCATCCTGTCTGAAGCCTCCCAGGGAAGGAAAGAGAAGTCCTCCGCAGGGCTAATGGGAGCTTCCCTGTCCCTTTCCTTGCCCCAACACCACACAGTGCCATTGCCCGTGAGGACTGCTTCCCACCCAAGCCTCTGACTCCAATTTCCAATCTACTGCCTTCCCCTCTGGGGAGACCTACTTTTTCAGGTTCTCCACCACCTGCCTTCTTCTGACTCTCACTTATTCAACAAAAATGTATTGAGTGCCTAGTAATGTGGCAGGCACTGTTCTGAGTCCTGGGGATCCAGTTGTCCAACCGCCTCTAGAACTCTCCCCCTCCGTTCTCAGCTTCTATTTCCTTTGGACTAGTCTTGTCCTTGGTCTGTGGCACTGCACCATCTCTCCTTCTGGGCTCCTTGGAGCAATGGGTGCCCCGAGTGTCTGTCTCGCACAGCTCTGCCTCCCTGTGCCCAGCTAAGACTCCCTCCCCCTCCTTTCTCCCCCAAACCTTGGCCGGCGGCCGGGCGACACCACGAGTTATTTCCCTGCTATTTCCCGGCCGGGAGCTCTTGGCCCCTGAACAACTGGTTTCCTCTTGGAGTCTGGGAGGAGCAGAGCGGAGCCGGCAGGGAGTGCACCCGGACCAGGGGAACGCCGAGGGCAGGGGACGCCTGGCAGGGGAGACGCGCCGAGGCGGGGCAGGGGTCAGCTGGAGGGTCTGGAGTAGCGAGCGCCCCACGGAGGCCCCGGGAGACGGGAGGGGGTGAGTGTGGCGGAGCGTGGGAGGGGGGTGGGGGCGGGAAGGGCTGGGGGAAAGTCGGCGCGGGCGGGGCACGGGGTGGGGTGGGGGGGAGCGGCCAGCCTCTCCTGTCCCCCTCCACCCGCCGGCGCCCGCCGGGTCCCTGGCTCTGGGGGCGCCCCCCCCCCTTCATTCCCCCGGCGGCCGCTCAGTCTCAGGCCCGTGGCAGTGGGGTGGGGACCCACCCGGCTGCGCCGGGGCGGGGAGCGAGACTGGTGGCGGGATTCTGGGTCCCGACTCCCGTCCCGCCTGGCCCGCAGACTGCGAGAGGACCCCGGCGGCCGGAGCCCCCGTGCCAGCGCCATGAGGCCGCTCGTCGCCCTGCTGCTCCTGGGCCTGGCGGCTGGCTCGCCCCCGCTGGACGACAACAAGATCCCCAGCCTGTGCCCGGGGCACCCCGGCCTTCCCGGCACGCCGGGCCACCACGGCAGCCAGGGCCTGCCCGGCCGCGACGGCCGCGACGGCCGCGACGGCGCGCCCGGGGCTCCGGGAGAGAAAGGCGAGGGCGGGAGTCCGGGTAAGAAGGCGGCGGGGTCGCCGTCCACGGGGCGGTCCGCGCTCGCCGGGCCGAGGGCCGGGGCTCGTGGTCCCGCCAGGGGGCGCCGCCGGGCTCGGGGAGCGGGGCGCTGGGAGGGTGACGCAGCGCGCGGCGGCCGCAGCTCCGGGGACCGTCTCCTGAGAGCGGCGGGGCCCGGGGTTGGGGAGGGAGGGGAAGGGGCCGAGCGGCAGGGCGGCCCTCGCCCAGGAAGTGGCGGCCGGGAGCCCCAGACAGGGTGGGAAGGGTGCTGAGCGGCGCCCCCCGCGCCCCCAGCCGCCGCCGCCACTCTGGCCCTAACCGCGCCCCGCACCCCCACAGGGCTGCCGGGGCCCCGGGGGGAGCCCGGGCCGCGAGGAGAGGCGGGACCCGTGGGAGCCAGCGGGCCTGCGGGCGAGTGCTCGGTGCCTCCGCGCTCCGCCTTCAGCGCCAAGCGCTCCGAGAGCCGCGTGCCTCCGCCATCCGACGCGCCCCTACCCTTCGACCGCGTGCTGGTGAACGAGCAGGGACATTACGACGCCACCACCGGCAAGTTCACCTGCCAGGTGCCCGGGGTCTACTACTTCGCGGTCCACGCCACCGTCTACCGGGCTAGCCTGCAGTTCGATCTGGTGAAGAATGGCGAGTCCATCGCCTCTTTCTTCCAGTTTTTTGGGGGGTGGCCCAAACCAGCCTCGCTCTCTGGGGGCGCCATGGTGAGGCTGGAGCCAGAGGACCAGGTGTGGGTGCAGGTGGGCGTGGGTGATTACATTGGCATTTATGCCAGCATCAAGACAGACAGCACCTTCTCGGGATTTCTGGTGTATTCTGACTGGCACAACTCCCCTGTCTTTGCTTGATGCCCACTGGAAAGTGAGCGGTGTGACACTGACAGCCACATCATCCCCGGAGGGCTGGCCCCCCCCTTGGGATGTTGTGAACGACTCCAGTCCTGCTGCTGGCAGAGAATGGGGACAGAGGCTGTCTGAGATCAGGGCTGGCAGTGAGGGGCAGTGGCTGGATTTCTGCCCAAAACCAAAGGAGCGCTCTGTGCTGGCAGGTGTGGGTCCCCCAGTTGCTCTGACCCAGAATCCCAGAGGTGGGGGTGCCCTCTTCCTGGTGTTCTGCTTCTCTGGGCCCTCCCTTGTCCCTCCTATTCCTGGGCCCTTTTCTCAGAGATTATTCAATAAAAAAAAAAAAAGTCCTACTGGCTCAGCTCAGCCTTCTTTAGTGGTGGGGATGCCCTGATGGTGAGGATGGGGGAGGGGAGAGGGAACGAAGGGGAAGATATGCAGGGTGGTGCTCAGGCAGAAGGAAGGGCTCTTGGGCTGGGTGAGCCCTGGGGCAGGAGATCCAGGAAGCAGGCCCCGGGGAATGAGAAGCCGCTCCGTAGGGCTGTCTCCTGAGTTGTGTTGGATGTGGACAGGAGTGCTTGGCTGAGGAGGGTGCCCTTCTGGCATGGGGCTCTGGCCACCTTTTTCTGACTCAGAGATGTCATACGAACTGCGCGGGGGCTACCTTCACCACACACACCCCTACCCTGATCAACAGTCAGGGTCCCCGGGTTTGCAGCTGTGACTGCTCTGGCTGCTTGCCCGGTCTCTAGGTGACTGTAAAGCTATTTCTCTGTCCCCCACGCCAGGGAAGTGGTGTGTTCCGGGGTGGCTAGAGATAAGTCGTTTCTGAGCTGACCACAAGGGGGCGTCCCAACTCCAGAATGCAGCAAAGATCCTGGAGAGCTTGAGCTCGCGACTGCTAGGGTAGTTAGGGGGAGGACGGGTACTGAGGTCGCTAATGTAATTCCAGATGGGGGTGCAGGAAAAGGGGGTCCTTTGCTCCCAGCTCAGGAAGTTTATCTTCTCTCATAAAATGTTTATCCTCACATTAAACAGAGACTGGAAGGAGCCAAGCCTCCCCTTGCTCAGCTCCCTCTCTAGGGTTGGGGGGAGGGGAGAAAAGCCCTCCTCAGGCTTCCCAACTCCCAAGATGGATGTGGTGAACTCCCCCCACCGTGCTGGGCATAGCCTGGGTGGGCCGCGCCACTAAGTCTGAGGCCAGCCACAAAGCCCCTTCAAGGTTCCCCTCCTCTGACCTTCAGAAGCCAGCCCCAGCCCCACCCCCACCCCAGTGACTAACAAACCAGGGCTTGCCAGACCCACAATCAGTTCAGCCTCTCAACCCCAGAGAATGTGAGGGGCCTCTTCTCAGTTTCTTTCTGACCTACCCTTCCTCCCCCTCCCCGCCAGAACCGCCCCACAGCTTCCAGAAGGCTGCCCCTGGCATTATGCTCCTAGATTTAACATACAATTATGTGGGAGTGTCCCCCCTCCCTCTTGCTGGGCCTGTGAGGGCAGATATGAGGGTGGGGACTGGGGTCGGGTCTTGGGCTTCAGCTCCCAGCTCTCCGCCAGGAGGCCTCATGGCCCCGCTCCAGCCCAAGCGAAACAAAGACAAGCACCAGGCTCCTCCAGGGATCAGACAGTAGATTGGACTCCAGGCAGCAAGAACCCCAAATTCCCTCCTGGGAAGTGCAGCACTGAGAAGCTGGGAAGCTGACTCAGGGGATGAGAACGTTCACACTCCTCTCTACTAGGGCTTCATTCTGGCAAAAGCAGGAAAGATAGGGAGGGCTTTCCAAAAGCCAGGTGTATGAGGCCACAAATTGGAGGGGGCGAAAGCTAGTCCAGCCACACCTGGCACGGGCTCTCCCCAAGGCATAGTGCTCACATCCTATCTTATCTCCTCCCCCACCAGATCCCCCACAGACCACAGTAACTCCAGCAGGACTGAAGGACCCTGCTGCAGCATCAGTTACTGTGACCAACTGCTCACCCCTGTAAGGATGCACACCGAGGCTGTCAAGAGCTGTCAACAGAAATGTATTCACCAGAAACTGGGCCGGCAGACCCATCTGGGCCAGACAGACCCATCAGGGAGCTGCATACTCCTAGGCTGGCCCCTTCCGTATTTGGACCCTAGTGAAATGTGCACAGTCTGACCTCCCCAATGCCCGGGAGAGACAAACAGAAGGGAAATGCCACTGTTCTCTGTGATGTGGGGAGTGAAAGGGGTAGGAGTAGAAATCTGGTTATCCCTCCTGAGGCTCCCAGTGGAGCTGGGGTGCCAGAGGGTAATATGGTCCCAAAGCCAGGTGCAGACACCCACCCCCCCGAGGGGTAAACTCTTGATCCTAGCTGTTGGATCGGGTTGGGAGGGAGCCTCATAAGATCAAGACAGGCAGAAGTGGTAACTCTAAGGGCACCTGAGAGATACTATCCCCGAGGCCTACCAGTGCACAGGTGCTCTGGCTGAAAGCAAAGGTTCAAGTTCGTTCCAAGGCCCTTGAGTTACCAAAACATCCAAACGACAGTGATGTGTTGTGGCTGCAGAAGCTGGGGAGGAAATGGGGAGGGGCCAGGGAGAGGACCTGCAAGTTCCCAAAAGAAAAACCAGAAGTAGAGGGGGAGCCCCAAAGGTTGGCATCTGGATGGGCCCTGGCAAGCTGGAGGGGAGTCCACAGCAGTCTCAGGGCCTTGCATAGTGACACACTCACCACCTCTGGCATCACACAGGGACGCACTGGGTAAGGAAGAGCTGTTACCCTGCCCCACCCAGCTCATAGTCTTCCAGAGTTATCCTATCTCAGTGTCCTGGACGTACGGATTGGAGGCTCGGCGTGACGGCCATGGGGGCGGGAGGGGATTCAGGCCAGGAACCAAGAGGTCAGGTGTTAAAGCTGTCCTAGCGCAGGTGGCTTCACGGAGCATGGAAGAGCGGGCAGGCAGGAAAGGCGTCTTCAGAGGTAGACGTTGAGGGTCTGCAGAATGCCCCGGCGGCAGAGCGGGCAGTTGCGGTGGTAGATGGGGTGGCGCATGAGGATTTCAGTGCAAGCCTGGCACAGGCACAGGTGCCGACAGGGCAGAAGCAGCACTGTCTTGCTCTGGTCCTGGCAGATGACACACTTCTTCCGCTCCTCTTGCTCCTTGAGCAACTTCCAGGGGTCTTGCCCAGCTACAGACTCCTCCTCATTGAGCCTCTCCCGGCCACGGGCAGGTGTTGCTCTGGCCATCCCGACCTCTTCCTCCTCTCCTACCTCTGATCTGGGCCCTGCTTCGGGAAGAGTGTCCTGTCGCCAGGTCCTGGCTGAAGGCACCCTCCTCGGGCCGCCCTGAGGGGCCCCAGGAGCCCCTCCCCGGTTCGGCCACGTGGCCAGCTGCAGGCTGCGGCTCCAGACCCGGCGCCAGGCCTCCAAGTCCAGGGCTAGGCGAGACAGCCGCACGACATCCTCTCGAAGCCGGTGGTAGGATGGCCAGGCACAGAGCTGACTGAGCGCCCGGGTGGCCAGGCTCAGGGTGAGGTCCGGGTGCAGCACAGTCACCATCACTGCCAGCACGCAAGCCAGCAGCACCAGGCCGGTGACGTTGACAAGCACGAAGCTGGTCAGGAGGCGGGCAGCTGATGCTAGGAGCTCCAGTGCTAGCTGGCAGGGGGTCCAGAGGAGGATGGCCATGGCCACGGCACTGCTGGAAATGTGGGCTAGGAAGGCAGCTACAATGTCCGTCAGCCTCCACAGTGGCCCCATCACTGCATCCCACAGCGCCAGCATCAGGGAGAAAAGGTTCTGAGTGCCAATGAGGCAGATGTTGACCAGGCTGTTGATCACGTAGGCCACCAGGCTCATGGCAATGGCACAGATGTCACAGGCCTGGCGCAGCAAAGCATGGCCACTGGAGACCACATTGAGAACACCCCGGTGCAGTATCTCCCGGCTCCTCAGTGCCCCGTGAGACGCCAGGTGCCCCAGGAGCTTTAAACTCTCCAGGCCAGAGCAGCAGCTGTACAGCAAGGTACACAAGGCCTGCAGGCCCCCAAAGGTGAACCGGACCAAGGCTTCGATCAAGGCCAGCAATGAAAGCAGGACTCCGCGGCCCAAGTGCAAAAGACTAGTCAGTACCGTGTGTGGCAGGTTGTAGATGAAGGCCAGGAGCCAGGCCAGGGAAGCCAGAAGGGAGGACACCAGCAGGAAGTTGAGGTCCAACACCAAGGTCAGCAGGTCCAGCACAAGGCCCACCCCATTCACTATCATGTACACAGCCTCCATGATAGGGCTGTGGAGGTTAATCCAAAAGGAAGTCTGGCTCCAGGCTGAGGGGGGGTGTCAAGGCTGATAATATTTGGGGACGTCAGGGATTAATCTGGAAGGGAAGTGAGCAGTCTCCAAGCCAGGGAGAACCAAGAATCTGAGGAAGAAGTGGGTTAGAGCGAGGTGGAGTCTCAGTGGAGGGAAAGGGGGCCAGGCGCCAGTCCAGGAGTCCCGGTTTTGAAGGCGGGCTGTCTGGGAGGGAAGAGGCCAAACATCTCTAAAGTGGAGCTGAGCCCAGGCTGGAGGAGAGAGCTCAGCTTTGGAGGCCTGGTGGTGGCGAACCACGGCCGGGCAGTGGGTCAGACCGAGAGGAGGCCGGGAACGGATGGTTTCGGGCCGGGGCCGGGTGGGGGCGGCGCAGGCTGGGCGCGGGCTCGCGGTCCAGCTACGCAGGTACCCCTGTCCCCGCCCGGCCCCCGTCCTCTGGGCTCGCGGCGCTTTGCGTCCAACGCGGTAGTGGGAAAGGGAGTCAGCCTCAGCAAACCCCAATCGCGGCCTCTACTCCGCTGGGCGCCGCCATCTTGTGTGCGAAGGGGTGGGGCAAAAAGCGTGACAAGGGGGGCGGGACGACGAACTCCGGCCAATCGTTGAGAAGCAACCCGCTGGAAACATCGAGCACTCATTGGTCCGTTTGAACAGCGCCCAAACGTATTTACTCTCCAAAGGGAAGGGCGGGGATAGATTGAAATCCCCGTCCCCTTGAGGCGGCGATTGGTCAATTGACGGGCAGAGGCGGATTAAGCCTTCCTCCTAGCCCCGCCCCCAAGCGGAGCAGGATTTTGGACGGGGCCAAATACCGGTGCTGTTCTTCGTCCTGGCCCCCGGTCGTGAACTTTTTAGGGAGAGTTGAAGGTTACTACCTCTGAGCTGGGCTCCGGGATTGCACCGCCACCACACCCTCCTCAGACTCGCTGCCTCGTCCTCCTCTATTCATTCATTCATTCATTCATTCAGTCTATCATTTATTGAGCTCCTGCAAATACACTGGGGATACAAAAAATGTTTAAGAGGGTGTGCCTGCTCTCGAGCCGGTCACAAGGGGAAACGTATTGTTACAGGGGATTCCCAAACTGCTATTCCAAACTGTTTCCTCCAGCGTCATCAGCTTTTCTCCGCATCTTCAGGAGATTATCTCATTGTCTTTACGACAAGGAGACCACAGACCAGAAATAGCTCACAGTCCTTCACTAGTCCCTGTTAAATTGTTTACTTAAACATTCTAGTTAGATATCTACCCCTGGGCGGCTCTAGGTTCCTCAATAAGTTATCCTTTCCTTTAATATTCAAAATATATTTGAGACCCCATCCCAAATCTGTTGGGAAACCTGGTATTCTCTACTACTGCCAAGATACTTACTTGAGGCTCTCATCCTTCCCCTGGTCACCATCGCTTTAATTTCCTGCTTGTTTGAGCGCTTCATCTCCATCCTGGCCTGAACTCCTAAAAGTGTTCGTCCCCCTTCACCCACCAAACCCCAAACGCTACCTGAATCCCTCACCCCCCAAAGCCCCACTGATAGGAAGCTGAGTTATGCAGCAAGCCTTAACTGAGATGTGTCAGTTGCACCAGGGGTGACAGCACAGTGCAGAGCAAGGACTGCAGTTTCTAAAATTCCACTGGTTTTTTTTTTTTTTTTAAGATTTTATTTATTTATTTGACAGAGACAGACACAGCGGGAGAGGGAACACAAGCAGGGGGAGTGGGAGAGGGAGAAGCAGGCTTCCCGCAGAGCAGGGAGCCCAACGTGGGGCTTGATCCCAGGACCCTGGGATCATGACCCGAGCCGAAGGCAGACGCCTAACGACTGAGCCACCCAGTCGCCCCTAAAATTCCACTGGTTTTGCGCCAGCCTCTCTCTCACACCTGTCAGGCCCCAACTTATTGTTTTCTCTGGGGAGACATGTTTTCCCTTCCTCTTGGGATTTCCTCTCCCTTTCTTTAGCCATCAGACTACAACTTCCTATTTTGTTATTTGACTTTACAGCACAGTCTGTCTCTACCCCCAACCCAAGCTAAACTCTAACCACAAAATGCTAATCTCTCTAAACAAGGGAGAATAATATAAGGATTTGTTTTAGCCTCCTGCTCAGAGCATGGTCTGTGGTGGTTATTGCTGCTGATGCTTTTACTGTCCAACTGTGCCTTTTCCCCCAATTTCTAATCCTGGCAAACACACCCACCTCCCCTTCAAGATATTTGATCTCCCCACCCGTAACCTGTCCTCTTCAGAAATGTTAGCTGTTCGATGAACACCTCCTGTGTTCCTAGTCTGTCTTCCTGCAGCACTTGATACCATTGGCCACTTCCTCCACCCTGGGCCCCTGGACATTACCCTCTCCTGTATTCTTTCATGGCTCCCTCTCCTTCCTACCTGATGATTTCCAAATCTGTGCCTTCAGCCTGAATCTCTCTTGCAAAGTTTAGGTTGCAACATAGACAGCACCTGGATATTGCACTGGTGCTTCAGACTCAACATGTCCAGGGGCACCTGGGTGGCTCAGTCGATTAAACATCTGCCTTTGGCTCGGATCGTGATCCCAGGGTTCTGGGATTGAGCCCCTCATCAGGCTCCTTGCTCAGCGGGGAGTCTGCTTCTCCTTCTCCCTCTGCCTGCCGCTCCTCCTACTTGTGTTCTCTCTCTGTCAAATAAACAAATAAAAATCTTTAAAAAAAACACACACACACTTAAAAAACAAACAAACTCAACAAGTCCAAAACCAAACTCAGCAAACTTGCTGTGCCTACACTGTGTGCAATTAACCAGCCAGCTTTCCACAGCAAGAAAGACCTTCTCGGCAAGATCCTCTAAAACAGTATTTCCATTAGTTGGGGACCAAAGCTTCCCCTCTGAGTGATTTGAGACTCACCAAAGCCACTTTGGTTTTGTTTTTTGTTTTTCTTAAGATTTTATTTATTTGACAGAGAGAGACACAGCGAAAGAAGGAACACAGCAGGGGGAGTGGGAGAGGGAGAAGCAGGCTTCCCATGGAGCAGGTAGCCCGATGCGGGGCTCGATCCCAGAACCCTGGGATCACGACCTGAGCCGAAGGCAGACGTTTAAGGACTGAGCCACCCAGGCCCCCCTCACCAAAGCCACTTTGAATGAGCTATATAACCTTTGACTCAGCTGGTGACACAGCTGTGGCAGACAGAGGTTATGTGCGGCCACAATTCTTGTGACAAATGAATTGCTGTACTACAAAATGCTCTCCCTTCTTAAGCTGAAAAGTACCATGTGAACACAATGCAAAAGAAGTGCTGGGATGACGCCCCCTTGAAAAAAGCCAATGTACTTCCCTGTGCTGAACGATTATAAACCATTCCCCTTGAGATGACCGTGGAAATGGTGGTTGGGTTTGGAGTCAAGTGGCATCTCTACTAACTTGATCATGTTTCTTTCTCCTCCAGGACTGCATTTCAGGTAAGAGCCTCTTCAAACCCACAGTTGCCAAAATGGGAGTCACCATCTGTCCAGAGGCTGGAGAAAGAAGACGAGAATGTTGGTGGAAAGAGCCAACGCCAACTGACAGTAAGAAGTTCAAATTGCTTACTAGTGTGAGTTGCAGTGATGGAGAAGATCTGCAGCCAGATCTTAAGAAAACTGAATGCCTAGAGGTACTCTCTATCCTTGCAGAATTTTATAATGGAAGTTGTATCGGGGAGTGGGGTCAACTAAAGCCCTCGGGCACCTTCCCCCAGGTTTCTGCTTTCTGCTGTAGGGCTAACTTAGGGATTTTGTTTTGCTAGGTGGGAGATGCTCACAGGAAAAATAAAAGGGGATTTTAGAGATGGGGTAAAACCATGAAAGAATGTCCAATTCAGAGGTCTTGTTTGTGGTATTATGTGTACTATCACCCTCCCCATTGGCTCCCCATCAAGCATTCAGTATAATCTATACTACCTCCATGGTTTTTAGAGTTGGATTTTTTTTCCTTTTTGATCTAATTTTGCTTTTGACTTATACAAATCATTCACAGCTTCCCAAAGTCAAAACTATATTAAAAGGTACATTCATAGGTTTGTTTTCATTCTGCCCCCACCACCCTGTTCCCTCCGAGCACCAGCTAAAGGCCCCGCAAATCACCAACATACCAAAAAATGTTTTCCTTTGTCATTCAGGATCCAGGGCTTGGCATTGGCCCAGCAGAACTCATAACCCTAAACATCAGCTCTGCTAATGACCCTGTTCAGGCCCAAAAAAGCCTTTTTCTGAATCTCATAATGTCCTGGAAACAGGAGGTGAGTGTGTCCAAATGCCACAAACAAAACTCCTGAATTTTTATGTGGGGGAGGATTTGAGTAGTTGAAGTGCTTAGGTAAGAAAAGAAATACATTAATTACCTAGTCAAATCCTCTTGCTTTTCTTCTTGTTCTAATTTATGGTTCCAGAAGTACTCAGAAAGTAATGCAATAGCTGAGGAACATTTGCAATATTAATTCAGATTTTTTAAATGTGTATATAAATCTAAATGAAACATGCATATGTATTTAATAGGTTTTAGCTCTGTTTTGACGTAAGGAAAGGACTGAAAAAAAGCACCCCATAATTTTAGGCATTGATTTAAGACATTGTTGGGGGTGGGGTGCCTCGGTGACTCAGTCGGTTAAGCATCTGACTCTTGATCTCAGCTCGGGTCTTGATCTCAGGGTCATGAGTTCAAGCCCTGTGTTGGGCTCCATGCTGGGCGTGGAGCCTACTTAATTAAAAAAAAATTTTTTTTTGAGGGCAAGTCAATGATGATAGGACTGACACGGTTAGCAAAGGTAAAGGGTGAACAAGGTCATTTTTTGAACCAAAAATCCAGAAGCATTTTTGTGCCACGTGCCGTGTATGGCACATGGTTGAACTTGTTACTAGAGCTCACATCAATTGTGCTGACCATGATGGCATTCTCTGAACAATAGAAAGATTATATACAATGTTTTCTGGATCTGCCCAAAGATGAAACATCTTGGAAAGACATACATCACCTTTGGCCTTACTACCTCTCTGGGACACATGATGGGAATCCTGGCTAGGAGCTGTTGAAACAAGTAGATTTAATGTAGATGAGATATAAAAAGAACTTGAAGAGTGAAGCAAAACAACAGATTTTCAAAGAGCAAATTATGGTCTCAGGTGGAAAATGAAATTACTCTTTTTTTTTTTAAAGATTTATTTATTTATTTTGAGAGATTGAGAATGAGAGAGAGAGAGAGAGTACATGAGAGGGGGGAGGGTCAGAGGGAGAAGCAGACTCCCCGCTGAGCAGGGAGCCCGATACAGGACTCGATCCCGGGACTCCAGGATCATGACCTAAGCCAAAGGCAGTCGCTTAACCAACTGAGCCACCCAGGTGCCCGAAATTACTCTTGAATATGCACTATTCGCAGATATTTGAGATGGACTGTTGTATAATATTAAAAATATTGAGGGGCACCTGGGTGGCTCCATTGGTTAGGCATCCGACTCTTGATTTTGACTCAGATCTGATCTCAGGGTGGTGAGATCGAGCCCTGCTTCACGCTGGGTGTGGA